ATATTGGGTCATAAAGCAAGCCTTAACAAATTTAAGAATATTGAAATTATGTCAAGCATTTGTTCTGTCCACAATGGTATAAAACTAGAAGTCAATAACAGGAGGAAAGTTGGAAAACTCACTAATATGTGGAAATTCACACACTCCTCATCAACCAGTGGGTCAAAAAAGAAGTCAAAAGGGAAATAAAAGAATATGTCAAGACAAATGAAAATGGAAATACAAGATATCAAAACTTATGGAATGCAGCAAAAACAGTTCTGAGAGGGAAGTTTATAGTGATAAACACATACATTAAGAGAAAGATCTCAAATAAACCACCTAATTTCAAGGAATTAGAAAAAGAACAAACTAAGCCTTAAGTTAACAGAAGGAAATAATAAAGATTAGAAATAAATGAAATAGAAACTAGAAAGACAATAGAAAAAGAATCAATGAAACTTTAAGAGTTGGTTTTTTTAAAACATAAACAAAACTGACAAACTTTTAGCTAACCAAAAAAAAAAAGACTCAAATCAAATTATAAATGGAAGAGGAGACATTACAACTGACACTACAAAAATACAAAGGATTATAAAGGTTACTATGAAAAATTATATTCCAACAAATTGGATAACCTAGAAGAAGTGGATAAATTCCTAGAAACATATATCTTACCAAGACTGGACTCTCAGGCAGCAGCTGGTAAAGAATGTAGTTAAGGTGCTTCCAGGGAAAAGGTGTGAGATGGGTGTTTTGCCTGCTTCCTCTGCACTGAGCCCTGGATAGCTTTGTCAAGTGCTCATACGCCCATTAACTATTGCTGCTTCTTTTGCGATAGTCTTTTGGGTCTCATGTATGCAAGCCTCACTGGCTCTCAGAGTTAGGTGTTTTGGGGTCCCATCTATTGTGTGGGGGGGTCTTAAAAGTTTGGGTGCTAAATGTAATGTCCAAACTCTTCACTCTTCGGGGAGAAGCTGGTAGTTGGAGTTCCCTCCTGATTGTCCCCTACTGTGCTGGGAGTAGGGTTTATAGCAAGAGTGTGTCTCAGCCTTTTTTACCAGTTTCAGTGTGTGTATTTTCTCATTTGTCTGAAGTTTAGGAATCACTCAGCTAATTTCTGGATTTGTTTTAAAGGAAATTGCTATATGTAGCTGTACATTTGTTACGTTGGTGTGAGGAGTTCAGGAGTCTCCTGTGTCACCACCTTGGTTGACCACATATCTATGTGATCCATTTATTAAGTGTTAACTTGACAAGTTCATAACACATGGAAACAACCTAAGTGTCCGTCAATGGTGAATGAAGAAAACGTGGTATATAAATATATACAGTGGACTATTATTCAGCCATAAAAAGGAGGAAATTCTGCTATTGCCCAACACTAATGAAACTTAAGGGCACTTATGCTAAGTGAAATAAGCCAGACAGAGAAAGACAAATGCCATGTGATTTCACCTATATGTGGAATCTAAAAAAAAGCAACCAAAAAACCAAACGAATTAATAGAGAGTGTACTGGTGGTTGCCAGGCGCTGGGGAATAAGGGAAACAGATGATGTTGGTCAAAGGGTCCAAAGTTCCAGTTATAAGATATGTAAGTTTCTGGGAATTAATGTCCAGCATGGTGACTGTAGTTAACAATACTGTGTTGTACACTTGAAAGCTGCTAAGAGAGTAGATCTTAAATGTTCTCAGCACACACACACACACACACACACACACACACACACACACACACACACACACACGGAGTGGTAGCTGTGTAAGGTAATGGATGTGCTAACATTGTGAAAATCATTTGCGATGTATACATATTTCAAATCATCATGTTGTACACCTTAAACTTGCAAAATGTTATATGTCAAGTATAACTCAATAAAGCTGGAAAAAACAAAATGTAATAAAATAAACATGTAAGTCAGATGTATAGAGAAAAACAAAATAAAATCGGCTAATATTTAAGTTCACCCATTCTTTCCTCAGCTGTTTCAAGTCTACTCACCCACTCTCAAAGGCATTCTTCATTTCTGTTCCTGTGTCTGATTTCTAGCATTTACTTCTGATTCTTTCTTATAGTGTCCATCTCTCTACTGACATTACCTATCTGGTCTTTCATGTTGGGTACTTTTCTCATTACATCCTTTTAGATATTAATCATAGCTATTTAAATCACCTATTTGATAATACTAACAAGTGTGTCATATCTGAGTCTGGATCTGATGATTGCTTTTTCTCTTCAGACTCTGCTTTTTCTGGCCTTTTGTATGCTTTATAATTTTGTTGTTGAAAGCCATGTATGTTATTGGGTAATGGGTACCAAGACACAAAGTCTCTAGTATGAAGATTTATGTTAATCTTTCTAGGAGTTGGGCTGTCTTTACTCTTTCCTGTAGCTATAGGGACCAGAGACTTCAAATTCCTCCATGCCCTTGGTTTTGATTTTGGGACTTCCTTTTTTTATTTCTCCTCAGAGAAAGTCTGTGTCCTGTAGTCTTTTAAGCTGTAATCCACTGTTATCATACTAGCAACATATTGGTGTAGCATAGGGTGTAGAAGACGGGCAACATTCTAAAATCTTCTAAGACTTGGTCTCTTAGTGGGCTTGTCTTGGGAATATGCCTTAACAGGTGTTTCTGTCTCTCCTACAACGTATAGCTTTCTTGCTCCTGCTGCTACTGTTTTTCCTGTCTGCAGCATTCTCTATTTCCTTGATGTCATCTCCCCTGTTGAATAAGGGGGAATTTCCCCACCTTGGGTGAGACAGAGAGGTTGGAGTGGAGCGGAGTTCCCTTCTCCCTTTTGGGGTAAGGCTTCTGTATTGCCCTCTGGGGAGATGTCCTTCCTACTGGAGTAGTCCTTTCTTAGGGAGATAGGGATTCTCCTATCAGGACCATAAGGGGATTTTTCTTGAATCCTCAGACCTGTTCTGTGATAACCTGCTGGCATTTCTGGAGGGAATGTGTGTCCCACTCCCACCTCCCATGACTGCAGTTTCTAGGAGTTTCTCACTCTCACATTAGTTCCACAAAACTTCTGGAAATTGGCAAAATTACTAAATGTTCCCATCAGTTTATGGCATCCAGCAGGTTTTGCTCTAGGCAAACCAATATCAGGTGCTGTATCTCTGGATGTGATTGTCATTGATTTTGGCCAGTTTGTCTTGTTGAACAAACTGGAAGGGGAAGGGGTTGGCAACTTAGAAGTTCTTTACATGTCAGAGCTGAAGATACATTTTCTTGGCTAAGTTTCCCTACTATTGGGCGCACAGGAACTAAGAGTCACAATGTGGTCTGAACTGTCTCTTTATATTTGGCTTTGGGTGAGGGGAATGAAACAAGGACTCCAGTATAATCTCTACTTATGCATGGTATTTACAGGAGGTATTTTGTCAGGACGTTTTTTTAGGAATGAGTGACTCATGTGGTGATTAAATATAAGACTTGAGAATAGGCTAATAGAGGCATGGTTGGAGAATTACACAGAATAGCTTGATTGGGGTGGAGAACCGCACAAGAATCAGTAGGAACCGAAGCTGGAACTATTGTGTCCGGAGAACATTCAGACTGGGAAATGTTTGATTACATTCTGTGGTCAGCATGGAGTCACTACAGATTTTGTAAATGATAACAGCAAATACATAATCTAGCAATAGTATTAGATAAACTGAAGGGACACTGGGCTAGTAGTATCAACCTCAAGATTTAGTGTCTGACTAGAAATGAAAAGAAACTGAGGAAGGCTGTGATGTCCCAGTGATAAAATCAGACATTTGAGAGATGAGGTACAGGAGTCTGGCCTATAATACAGAGAACTTGAAACGCAACCAGATCTCACAACAGAAATTAGATTTTGGAGTCATCTGCATGGAGGTTATAGCTGAAATACTGAATAGAGATGTGGTCTTCGGGAAGAACGAGAGCTGCGTTTAGAACCTTGGGGAATGTGTAAATTTAAGGGGATGGGAGAACATAGAGTTAGCAGTGGAAAAGCAAGAAAGATGGGAGTAAAACCAGGACAGGATGTAAAGGAAATTAAGGTAGAAGATGGCCCTTTTTTTTTCCAACTTATGTCTGGCCTACAGGGGTAGACACTGAACTGTACAGATCCACCCAAGTCTTGACTGGAAAACAGCTTCCTATATAGTGTGGCGTGAATGGCTTGCTTCTTGCTAGAGTTTTACATGAACTCTTTTTATAGTGGAAATAGATGAAAATGTTCCACAAGAAATGGTTAGTGTTTTTATTAGGTAAGCATCCACATTTATGAGCTAATGTCCCATTCTTGGAATCTAACCAGGTAGGAGAGAGATTTGTGCTGGCTGTAAAATTGTGATAATAGCCAAATTTAGTACACAAAATTACCATGATCTCCGAGGTAACTGCAAACGATTTACTACAAACCAATATACAACCTTCACAATACATGAATTTCTTCAGACATCTGTACTTGTATTTATGTGCTGTATGTATCCATATATGAAGTACAATCGGATGCTCTACAGCTGGTATTTAGTGGCTTGTTTCTCACGCTGACTGCATGGTCAGTGTTTAAAGGAAATAAGGCAATGTTTGGTAAATCTCTTCTATAGCAACAAGACAGTTTTCATCAAGTTTGTGAAATGTAATTTTATTAATTAATAGAAGGGCATGTCTTACCAGACAAACTGTCCCAAAATAAATAAAGTTTCAGCATCATTAAAAGCACACAAACACACAGTTTTACAGGATACAATACAAAGTCAATTTTGATGATGTTCTTACTTGCATTTACTAAAAATCTGAGAGAGACTGTAATCAATCTCTAAATAATGATCCTGCATAAAGATAAAAGTACAGCACAGTTATTTCATAGAAGGTTTTGGAGTGACAGTTTGATAAGACTCTGCTTTAAAAGATATTAAGATATATCACAAATCAAATCACACTCTCTGTTAACATTACAGCATGGAATTGTACTTAATCAAAAATAAAAGTGGCTGAAGAAGGCTGTATACTTTCTTTTCCAACATAACACTAATTTCTATTTTTGGCATGAATTAATAACCTTTTCCATTAGTAGGAAAACGTGCTCTGCAAACTCTCGGAGGGCACCACGGCCACCACTGCTTTTGCAGATATATCCAACAGCCTTCTGGGCAGCGGCACAGGCATCAGCAGGA